TAGGTGGCGGCAGAGAGAGGTTAACCACCGAAACTTTGTTCATCGAATGAAACACTACTATTATTATTATATCCTTTAATTCCTTGAGAAACATAGGGCTTCAGCTGCGCACCTCCATTGCCTTCGGTTTTCTGCCAACTTTTTCACCCCACTCCAAGTCTGCCGACATGCTTTCACCTCCTCTTCACATGACCTCCTCCTCCATGTCACCCTCCCACTGACGACCAACTCGCCGCTTCCTTTTCCGCTAGGTTCCACTCGAGCAATGGCTTGTCTAGTGATGTCACTCACTTGATGGTTTCCTCAGCATATGGCCAATCCATCTCCATTTCTTCCTGCCTATTTGTTTCACAATCGGTTTCTGGTTGGTTTTCTCATTGCCAGAGATCCCTGTTGATCTTTTCTGACCGGCTATCTGATCTTGAGTATTGAGCGAAGGTAGCTGTTGATGAAGGTCTGAAGTTAGTTTGAGATGCTCTTTATGACGCGCCAAGTTCTGATCCGTATAGCAGCACTGATTGATTTCACATTGCAGTTGAAAATCCGGATCTTATTTTTTCTGCTGAGTGCTGTTGAGCTCCACACAGACTTCAGCGTAATGAAAGCTTGTCTTGCTTTTCCGATTCTGGCTTTGATATCCTCGTCAGTTACGTTGGCCTGTAGTTGAAATAATGCTCCCCAGGTAGCTAGGTAGGTAAAGGAGGCTGTTTCTTTCAATAGACATGCGTGAAACAGAAAAGATGAAGTACATTAGGCAATAATATTAGTGTGATCAATGAAATATAATAAGATGGGAAACAAGATGAGTGCTGTTAATCCATAAGTCAATAATAGTGAGACTAATAATCGTACCACAAAGAATATAAGGCATCTCCAGTTTTACCATATAGGGAGGGGACATCTGAGACCCGCCCTATGTAGGATTCTTAATAAGGCAGGAATTAAGGCGGCATTTAAACCTACAACCTCACTCACTCAGAGACAAGCCCTATAGGCTTAAAGACCCGGTGGACCCACTTATACAAAAAATATATGTATAATTTACAAAATACCTTGCAATGACAGTGAGTGAGGTTAGTTAACCACATAGGTCAGTCAGACTAGTAGATCAGGAGTAATGAGATTATCAGAACATAAGAATTTAGCTAAGTGCAGAATGGTTGACTCCAAGAAGATAAATAGTTTAGAAAAACACCCAGCCATTGCGCCTCAAGCATTAACGTACATCACATAATAAGGTAAGACAAAGCTAAATTTCTAAAGAGTAATGTAGGTAGGTGGAGAGAGAGAGATTGATTTCTGAATCCTGGTTCATCGAGTCTACACCCAACGCAACACATGCAGTAAAACTGAATCAACACAAATATCACAGATATGGAAGATATTATAACTACCCGTCAGTAAAATCAGACTGGCGTATGAAGCTTACTGGAGCTCACCGGCAGACGTATGGACAAAGGGCTTGTTGGATGTCCTGGATGTCTGGCCCCATTCAAAAAGGCGTATGAACCGAACTCCGGTCACCGGCTGCCAATGGATAGTGGACTCCTTACTCCACTTCTACTGCCTTGTAGGTCACACTTGGTTGTGTACAGGCTAGAGCTGCACTCTCAAACAAAAGGCCGAGCGATGCTGGGGACATCACTCGTACCAAATTCCCATGAAACTTCATGAACTCTCTCACAAATTGCCGCGCCTGAGCAATGATGATTCGAGACGTTCATGAAGCCGGCTCATCCTCCCGTAGGAGATAGCCGAAGTAAAGCAAGTAAAATCAGACGATTATAAATAATGTTAAAATTCAATTCAATAATTAATATGACCCGTTGCACAAGAGGTGGCTCTCGTGGCCCAAGTGGTCTAGTGGATAACGCTTTGGCGTTTGAAACTATGGGTACTGGGTTCGAGCCTCGGTAGGAACATCATCACTCACTGAGAAATGCAGGTACATCCAGCTGACGAGTCCCAATTAGAACGAAATGCGCATCCTGGATTCCACTGCTAGCCACCATCCACCAATTGAATGTTAAAATTTGTTTGATTTCAATTCACGTTGTCACACTCCAACGTGTCATTTAATTATTTTACTCACAAAACACCTTATTATCCATCTTATAGACTAACAACACTTGTCTTATTTCTCATTGTATTATATTTTATTCAGACATCTATAAAACACAAAATAATTGAGCAAAGAATATCCTTTTCGATAATTTCCTCCTCTTCTGGCTCTACAATTATATATATGTATGTTTATATACACAAAATATTCAAGATTGGTAGTTAATACCAATATTAGGGTTTCGTTTAATTAATATCGATTTGTAAAGTATGATCAATGCAATTACAGTTCATTAAAGATGCTTAAATAATGATAATAATAAAGATATAGTAGCAAATAGAATATCAATCAAAATTAGCTAAATTCCACAAAAATTTAGGATCATTCGAACCTAGATGGCCAAGGTAGGAAAAATGTCTAAACTGATTATCTTTTAGACGCACAAATTAGGTTTCTCAATATGGATCCCAACAGCCAGCCTCAGCAATATTTAGTAGTCGAACTCTTAAGGCAAAATTGAGATTCGCAGGTAAGCGGTAGATGACTCTGAAAACCGCCTCGTTGACATCAATCTTGTGTTCTGTCGCATCCACAAGATGAGATAGAATAGCGCTGGGATTAGATTTTGTTTGTCATTTACTTAACCACACAGGGTGATGTTCGGAAATTCGACTCATATAGAGCCAGTGACGTAGGTCGTACAATTATACGTGTTTCTCTTCGAATTTCCGAACATCACCCTGCATGGTAGTTAAGTAAAGGACAAACGAAATCTATTCCCAGCGCCATTCTATCTCATCTTGTGGATATAGAACACAAGATTGATGTCAACGAGGCGGCTTTCAGAGTCATCTACCGCACACCTGCGAATCTCAATTCTGCCTTAAAAGTTCTACTACTAAATATTGCTGAGGTTGGCGAGTGGGATTAATATTAAGAAGCCTAATTTATGTGTGCATCCAAAATAAGTTAGTTCAGACATTATCCTTACCCGCTTGGCCATCTAGGCTTGAATGATCCTGAATTTTTGTGGAATTTTCCTAATTTTAGTTGATATTCTATTTGCTGCTATATCTTTATTATTGTTATTATTATAATTTAAGCACATTTAATGAACTGTAATTCCATTGATCTTATTCAAAAAATCGATATTATTTAAAAAACACTAATATGGATATCGACTACTATTCTAGAATATTCTATGTGTATAGACATATATATACTTGTAGAGACAGAAGAGAAAATTATCCAAAAGGATATTCTTAGTTCAATTATTTTGTGTTTTATATTTTATTGATAACACTAATGTGATTTCCGAAAGCACTTCATCTTCCTTTTGGCCTCACGCATGTCTAATAAACTTCATAATGACTCATATGCCTAATCAATTTTTTACTCATAATAATAATAATAGTAATTTGCTGTATTCCAAAACAGTACTTGTGATATAGAATGGAATTTTCAGCATTTTACTACAGTACATTGCATCCAGTTTGTACATTAACGATAAATAGAATTCTACATAGATTAAGGGTAATCTCAGTTCGCTTTGACAACAACATATTGGCATGTCGGTAGCAAAGCCAAAATTGGACAGTGCTTGAAGGGCATGCGATTCCCCCTGCAAAATGTAAGATACTGCTACAGGACTGGACTACGTCAACTCCTAGCTTAGTGATACGGAGTGAAGTGATAGAACATGTTGACCACTTCACCTATTTAGGAAGTTGTATCAGCACCAACGGACTGATTGGCGACGAAATCTCAGCACGCATCCAAAAAGCTCGAGCTGCTTTCGCTGACTTACACCATCTCTGGCGTAGGCGTGACATCCGGCTATCAACCAAGCAACGTGTGTACTGCTCAGCTGCAGTTCGCTCCATCCTTCTCTATGGCTCTGAAACATGGCCAATACGAGTTGAAGACATGAAAAGGTTGACTGTTTTTGATCATAGATGTTTACGATGTCTTTCTCACGTTAGGTGGTATAATAAGGTAAGTAATGTTCACGTTAGGCGTAGAGTGTTCGGCAAACAGGGAAAATCAATCGACGAGGCTATAAAGTTACATAGATTGAGATAGCTAAGTCACGTGGTGTGCATGCTTAACCATCGCCTCCCCCGACGGGCATTATTAGCTGATATAGGTGCAGGTTGGAAAAGAGTAAGTGGTGGGCGGCCAAACAAAAACATGGAATCAATCCATGAAATCCTTGACAGTTAAATTGAGTCGGTCAGGTAGGGAGATGCAGACTTCCGGGTTGGGGCCCTCGGGACTGACTCTAGGAATCAATGGCTGGAGACAATAGGTGACATGGCTCAAAATCGTTGTCAATGGTCAGCGCAGATTATTCAGTCTCTGTAATCTTTCATATTCCTTTCTACCATTACCCATTCTGTTTGACTCTTATACCTGTCAAACTCTATTGATTCTCTTCACTCATCTTCTTGTCTACCTTTGTGTGCTATACGGAACGTGGCAACTCGAACTGGTGCACTTCGGTGCCAAGTTCTATGCTGAATCCAGACAGACAGACAGAGAAAAGTAGATGCTAGCACATTTACTGACGTAAGCGGTAACAAAAGGCCGAGATATACAGAGTGTGAAAGAACGAATAAGAATGTTTTGATAGAGTTTGTAAGGAAGAAAGAAACAACACAGCACATAACAGAAGAAAAGAGAGAGAAAAGCAAAAAGAAAGAAAGAAAGCGTTGTACCTATACATGATATGAGTTGGAAAGACGAGATCCATTTGTTCTACTGACTATTTAATAAGTTGTAGGTTTGACGCCTAATACTTTCTTTATCGCACTCATGTATATAAACGAAGTGTCTTTTATAAGTGGACGATTATTAGCCTAAGAGGACTACAAATCGACAAACTATCAACAACTGTCAAAAGCTGAGAAGTCAAGGAAACAGTTTATTTCCGAATTTTGAGCACACGAATATACAGTTCAGCAGAGTTAATTGAGACGCCAGGATCCACAGGTTTACTGCATAGTCAAAGGAATAACTTCCAGGAATAGCATCTGCCTTAAGTCAATTCATGAACACACGACAGAAAAGACACACAAGCAGCAATAGTCTAAAACAAACCTTTATATATATTATATAATCTAAGGAATGCTAGGAAGCTGTCAAAAGCAATCAATATGATTTTTTTACTATTTACAAAAATTATTGAACTTTAAATTTTACAGAGCATAGATTGTCTAAACCAATTTCAACTTCATCACCAGTTTTCAGTGGGCCAACACCTGCAGGTGTACCAGTCAGAACAAGATCTCCATATTCCAATGATATTCTTTGAGAGATTATGGATATCAAATCTGCTGGTGTCCATACCATCTTATTCAGCTTTGATCGTTGACGTTCAGAATGATTCACTTTTAACCAAATTTCATTATTCACTGTATGAAATTCTTGACGTGATTTTAAGATGTTGATGGGCAATGAAGTCATTGGAAGAATTGGACCTACAGGGCAGGCAGTGTCAAAACACTTAGCTAGAGTCCATGGTAATTGTTTTGACTTGAGATCATTCAGCAAGAATCGATCGGTTAGATCTAAAGCAACCACATAACCCATTACTGAGGAGGAAGACACCTAAAATAAACCAGAGAATTTGGGGAATTACTGATGGAAAATTAGGTTGAAAAGAACAAGAAGTTCAGCAAAGATGGCGATCTTTTCGGCGATTTCATTCTCAAAATCAGCTGTACAATCGCATTTATATAGATTAGTTTACATTGATACAATTATTATTTGTTTACTTCCACATAGTAATGAAGGTGATAATAATTTTCAACTTGATATGGAAGTTTGAAGGTACGAATATATATATATATATTACAAGGGGCTTAGAGACAAAAAATTACACAGGATTAGAATATAATTGTAAAATGGTTATTCAAAACGGATTTTCCGACAGCAACTTAAAGAGTGATATTCTCTAGCCGCCCACTGCTTCGGAGCAACGGGAAGGACAGTCTTCCGCATATGATCACTTCAATGTGCATATATCAGTTCACCTGCTTTTGTGGACCTAGGTACATAGGTCGTTCAATGCGGGTCTTATCAAAACGTGTTAGAGAACATCATCCAGCATGGCTGCAAAGAGAAGGCATTGGTTCAATTAGAAGCGCAATAACCGAACATCTCGTCAATACCTGTCACAGAATCTCAACTGACTCATCATTTAGAGTCATTTACAGAATAAACAAAATCTATCAAAGGCAGTGTGTTTCCGACTTCTTTGTATTGCGGAAGCTCTCGCTATATGCAGCGAAAAGCCGGAGCTATGTGTTCTAAAGAAACTAGTCCAGCCTTTACAACTACCATGGACCTAGTTTGGTATGTTCCCTTATCCTTCAGTTTTTTTTGTTTTGTATTCTGTGTGTGTGTAATTTTCTCTCTTTGCCTTCACTCAATTCATCCTGTTTTTTTCAGTTATAAAATCCGTTATTTTAAGTTTGTTTCCATGCTCCTCACGACCACACTTGTAATCAGTTCAGAATAACCATTTTACTGTTATATTCTAATCCGGTGTAATTTTTTGTATCTATGCCTCTTGTAATCTATATTCACACACCTCCTAACTTACATTTCAAGTTGAAAATTTTGATTTCAGTTTGTTTGCATGCTAATTTTGTTCATACATTTAATTCGTTCTATTCCTGCGTAATTTTTGTCTCTAAGCCTCTTGTATTTCATATCAAGTTGAAAATAATTATCACCTTTTATTCGCCTGTAAAATTATTTCTCCAATTATTAAATATTAATTTTGCATGCGTTGGGACTGTTTTCTAATCCTATGCAATCTTGTCTCTAAGCCCCTTGTAATGCATATATTCTTACCTTCAAACTTTCACATCAAGTTGAAAATTATTATCACCTTCATTACAATGTGAAATTAAATAAATAATAATTGTATCAACGTAAACCAATCTATATAAATGCGATTGTACAGCTGGTTTTGAGAATGAAATCGCCGAAAAGATCGCCATCTTTGCTGAACTTCTTGTGCCTTTCAATTACTGATGGTACAAAATTTATTTATCCAAAATATTATGAAACCAAGTCTTACCTCATTCGGCTTCACACTTGTTAACCGCTTTCCAATAACAAAGCCTAATTCAACTTCATGATGAATTTCCGTTGTTCCATTGGGCATCTTAACAAAAAGTTGTTGCGCATAGGCGAAAACAAACCTTAATACTTTCACCCTCTTCTATAATACAACTAGATGGTTTCATAAAGATGACTGGTGAATCGCCAACTTTATTCCCCAATTCCTTTGCATGATCCCTGTGGATGATTTGTTAAGAATGGGGCTAGCACATACGTACGCATAGTTTCTGCCAACTGCAACAATTTTGCGACAAATACTCTTTAAACTTGTAGACATTATTCTAAAAACAAAAAAGGTGTAGGGATGTTGAATAGTGCTTTCTATTGAGTTAAAATTAGCAATATAAAAATAATGTAGAAAATCAAAACAAGTGGTGATTCAGCGTAGAGACTCTTTTCAATGAATTTATTATCAAAGCTGTACAATTGTTTATATATATATAAACTATATCCGGTGAGGGAATTAGGTCAAAGGTGTGAATACATGAAATAATAATAATAATAATAATAATAATAATATGAAATGCAATTAAAATATTTGCGATTATAATCATAGTTAAATGTCAAGTAGCAAAACAATTAATGTCATATACAGAATAATTCATAAGATGTATAGATAGATGTTGGAAAGGGATGCATAATTATAGGGTTAGTAGGCGAATATAAAATGTTACATAACATGGTGTGAAGTTTGACACGATAGAATTCAGTATTGTAAAAATAAAATAATTTTGGATTTAGAATGACAAGTGGGAAAAGCGGAAATAATTCAGAGTGGGAATAGTAATAATAATAATAGTAGTAATAAGGGAAATGTACATAGAGTAACTAAATAAACGAAATAAATAAATGTATATCCCTCTACAGCCAAGGCAGAAGTAGGGATTGTACATACTTGTACACAAAGGTCTGGCTTAAAGTCATGAATTGCCGAGGTCCCAGCTGTCTTTAGAAGTCTGTGACGAAGAAAACACGGGAAGTTAGCATGGATTCTATATATGATCTTGAAATCATGGTCAGGGTTGACTGAGTGACAGAAATCGATCAGGTGTTCCAGAATATAGCTTCGCATATACTTCCTTTCTCCCTTGTAAAACCATGCTGGAATATGTTCTCGTATCCATTTGGAAAGTGCGTCAGTGGCATAACGGTTAGGACGCTCGCCGACCGTGTACATGGTCCGGGGTTCGAAAACCGGCCGGCGCACTCCTTTACCTCACTCAGCCAGAAGTAAAGCTGGTGAAGAAGAAAGGTTGGGAATGAGGCTAGCAACCCCATCCTGTAAAAGTAAACACTACTAAAGAAACTTCAACCCTCAAACTTAAAGCCCTATGTTCCACTGGGAACGTGAAGGAAATAAGAAAAATCCATGTGGAAAGCGGCCAATGTACCTTGCTCCACAAGAGCAGGTGAACTGGTAGATGAGCATGGAGGCGGCCAGATGGGGGAGCTTATCTTTTATAGATAGAGAACAATTTGCGGCTCGTGAACGTCATCTGTAATTTATCTGCAGGGAACGTCTTACTGACTGATTTAGAGAGACGATTTTTGAGCATATCCGAAGCTTGATCACCTTTGAATTTCAATTTCATGAATAAGGTTTTCATTGGAACTGAGTCGGTGACCAGTTTAGACTGTTTATCTTTCATGTTGATGTCAATAAATCGGTTAGCGTAACTGTTTTCTGCAAGTGTGGCTTTTAAAAAGTCTTTTAAGCGTAGAAGAATCCTTCTCTATATTATACCGGGTGCCAAATAAATTACCAAAATCATCGAAGCATCGCATGCTCCAAACAGCAGAGGTTATTGCAATTCGCCTCAAACAACCAGTGCTCTGTGTGCAAAAGAAGCAAGTCCAGCCTCTACAATTGCCCTGGCTAGCCTTCAGTGGAGACTATAAATTCATGAATTTGTAATATTATCTTTCCTAATTTTTTCTGACATTCAGCTTATTTTATGTTGATGCTATCGAGCTGTAATCTGTCAGTGTGATTATTGATTCGATGTTATTTAAACAGCAACATTAATGTTGTTCATAACACTGATTTAGTCTTAGTCAGGCGAACAACCTCAGGAGAATTAGAAACTCAAGTTTATAGGAAATCAAGTCACACAGACCAAATCCTAAATTACAACAGCAACAACCCAATAACGCACAAAAGGAATTGCATACAAACACTATTCAAGAGAGCAAGACTCATTGCAGCACTCCCACCTTAAGGAAAATTTGAAGAAAAGTATCTCATGGACGTCTTCCAAAAGAATGGATATCCACGAAATTTCATCGAAAGACATATACCCCAAGTCAACCTATCAAAGCAAAAGCCACCAAGGAAAGCACAAAGAAAATCGCCTTACCATACATAAAGGATATCTCATAAATCACTACAAGAGTCTTCAAACCTCTAGGAATTGACGTCGTACACAAACCAACAAAGTTGCTTCACTTAATTCTATGTCAACCAAAAGACTCAACAGCGAAAGAAGATAAAACCAACATCATCTACAAAATAAATTGTAACAACTGCGAAAAACACTACATTGGCCAAAGTGGACGTCCCCTTCGTCTTCGCATCCACGAACATGAGCTAGCCGCCAAAAGACATGATATCCACTCCTTCATATCAATCACTGCATACAGACAACCACAGACATCAATCCGACTGGGACCACCAACGTTCAAATGTTAGACAGAGGAAACAACAAGAATGCTAGAGAATTTTTAGAAGCTTGGCATTCCAGTGAATCATCAATCAATAGACACACTGAGATCGACAAAATTTACCAACCAATAAGAAAGAAACCTCACACACAAAGGGTCAAAGTCCAAGTCAAAGAATTAATCAGTCCCAATACACAAGTAACCTAGATGGTGTGAAAACACACAAAAACAACAAATCACGTCAAGGTGGTCACCAGGAGAGATGATCAATAAACTCATGGAGAAATCTAAAAGCTCACTTCAAATTGAAGTATGCGCTGAATATGTCACCCAGTAGGGTGATGAAAGCTTCGCAAATTAACCACCCAGCTCAGAGAACACAACCACATCAATAACAGTAATTTACTCACTATAATGTATGTATAACTGTAGAACATGATGATGAAGAGGTTATCGAAAAGAGTATTCTTTGTTCAGTAACCATAATTTCGAAAATAAAATTGAAATAAAGACGTTATGTGACAATGTGTGAAATTTAATAACATATTGGATTTAACTTGGCAAAGAAAATTGGTTTAGAATGAATGACAAGTGGAACGAGTGAAATAATTACTTGGAACAATTCAAAGTGAGAATATTAAATAGTAACAACTGATGTATGTATTTAAGACAAGAGTATGCAAATTGAATTAACAAAACGATTAGGGATTACCGCACTTTAGCGGGGAGAGAGGCATAGACCACGAAAATTGGAGGGGTCGAACGAACTTTTTCTGTACACAGAGATCTGGCTTTTTCTGTTTCGATGGCCAAAGCTTCAGCAGTATGTACAGATGAGTCGGATACGTACTGATTATAATCACAAACGTTTTGATTGCAATCCATACTATTATTATTTCATGTATTCACCACCTTTGATTCAATGTGCGTCGGTGGCACAGTGACTCCCGCCGATCATGCACATGTTCCGGGGCTCGATCCTCTGCCGACGCACACTTTATATCTATGGTTGACCTGCAAAATTTGGGCTACCGATATCACATGCTGAAAAATCCATACATGCATAAAAAATACAGTGTGGAATCAAGCTGTAATGTAAAAAAAACTTTAAAAAAATAATTCCTTCACCCGATATAACAGCTTGATAATAAACTCGTCAAAAAGTCTCTTCGTTGAATCACTTACCTTAATTTTCTGTAGAAATAACAGTCTACAGTTCTTACTTCTGATCAGTTTGTGAGGAAATTGCATCACTCGTTGCGGAATAGCTCCTCGTATTAGGTTAGGTGCTCAAATGATATACTGTTTATATCTCGGCTTATATGTCACTGGAAGAAGTCATAAACAATCAAGACAACCTGGGTACTCGGCGTGAAGGGGACATCACTTGATAACTATCTTATAAGACTAGTAGCTGTGGAAATCTATGTCGCCAACCTCCTACTTAAATTCAGGTTGTATCTGAGTCCTTTAATTCTTCAAACTTTTGGTTCAATAAAAAGCACTGGCGTTACTTGCTCACAGAACTTAACATTTACACATATGTCAAGATAAACGAAACTTCTAACATTGTTTATATTAAGTCAGAATGAAATGACAAGTCAAAAGCCACACAAGCCCCGCTTAATACAGAATATGAAATCTGTTATTACTAAATATAGACGAGTCACAGGCTCCCTACACCTGAAAACTGTACGCGCCTTAGGCTAACATTGTGTTGTAAAATGTTGTGATTTCTTCAGCACTCGAATGCTAGGCAATCGTCCCCCACCCCTTAATTAATAGATACGGTAACACTGGCAGTTCTTTACAGTGCCAATTACACACCAATAAATTCTGACGGGAATATATATGAATACGAAATGAACTTTGACCACTTTGGATGGGATACAAAAAAAGATCAACCTGTCCTTCCTTTTCTGTTTATTATACGACAGTTCTGAATGTAATCTTCCCCCCCCCTCCCCCCATTATACATAGTAGAGAGATAGCTAGTTAAAACTAGTGAAATTATGCACATTTCACTACTATTGCCAGATACCACAAGAAACTGAGTCCACGGTCTTCATATATATAGTAACTTATGTTGAAATAAACTAAACAACAGTTTTTACAATATTCTTCAAAGAACAGAATTATTTAGGAAATGTCTTGTGATCAGAATATTTTTCTGGAATGCCCTTCAATTAGAAAAAAACGATAAGTTGTTTGTGACCACGTGGATGGTTTATTAGCCTAAAGTCTATGAGGACCTCCACAGACTTTAGGATAAGCACTCAGGATGTCTGACAGATTAATTTAAAAGACACTTAGTCAATGAGCGGTTTCTGTCATATTTCGCAAATGGGGAGATATTGACCGCTTGTATTCACTACTCCTATACGACCTAGTGACTTACCCTAATTCTGAAGTCAACTAGAAATATGCCCTGTAGCCATTACGTGTAGAGATCGATGATGGAACGTGTTACTGCACGAACATTTAAACTGATACATAATACAGTGGGGTAGGATAATATTTTCCATATATCCCAAAGGCTTGGACAGATAGATAGGTATAGCTTATATTTTTAATTACCTGGATTTTAGCTGCATAAAGTCTTTTGACCTCAGCGTTTTACCTTCACTTGTGATGTGTAGCTTGATAAATAGTCGCTTCTACGCAAGTTGAAAAATAAGTTTTAAGGCTTCTCCGAACAACTATTATGAATCAGGATTTCTGCCCATATTATTTCTTTTCGCCTTCAAATGTTTTATCTGAAAGCCCTATGTATCCTAATTAAGGATACCTCTTTATTATCTTTCCTATATATTTGGAGAGAATAGATTGTGCACATGATGTTTTTTCACATGACTACCCACTTTAGAAGCTGAGGAATTAAATATTACTGATTAAAACCCCGAAATTAGAGAACTGATACAAAGAAGGAGCTTGTATTTCGTCAAAACAGGTTTTCTGATGACAAACGTTCAGTCTTTCAAAAGGAACATCCTTGTCTCCCCCACTATATACTCTTATTTAGTCTTTTGAACTCAAAATGTACAATTTTGGACCATTCTTGGAACATCTTCATGTGAAAAGTCCTGGAAGAAAATGTACCGAATTATCAGTAATCCCTGAAAGCCCTAAACTTCCTCCAAAAGACCCAAAAATTGTTACTACAGGTGATATCTTCTATTATATTCCTTAACAACCGCCCCCAAGTGATTTGAAGTTTCGGTAGCAGTGTTTCTTTATTTTCATAGGGTGAAGTTAATTAGCCTAGTGTCTAGCCTCAATTTATCGGATTAGCGAGGTTCAGGAGTGAGTAAGCCGAGTATCGTACCACGGCATCGGACCACATGCGCGGTTGTCGATCGTTCTACCGCTTAACCCACTGATATAATTCAAGCTGATATCTAGAGGGGACTGTTATGGAAGCTCATTAACATTACAAATATAAGAATAATGATCCAAGTCAATGAAACGTTAAATAACAGTATATTACCAAAAAATGCAATAACGAGTTATAATAATAAAAGGGGTCACTTGGATATAAACTTTAAGTCCTCTGCTACGAATTATTTATATAATCCACGGAAGTATTCACTGTTGGAATTGCGTCTGCTGTGTGCCGGTTGTAGAATTATCTTCGGATGAGGATAGTAGACTCCTACAATAAATCCAAAGGATACAACACGGTGTGAGCGAAGCGCGTAAGCAATAGCAGCCAGAGAGAAGGCGTTCCCAACAGTAAGGCGTATTTCCAATGGTACACGGAAGTTATATGTATTTTAACAAGAATCATTTTAAACAAAAATCATGTACAATATCTCTAATTTCTACAAATAACCTGAAAGTGTACAATTATATTGTTACGTACTCCATACGGCTCCCCCCACAGAGGTCCGGAGAGACTACCAGAAAGTGTTACTGTTAGTGAAGTAAATAATAATAGTAATAACAATTTTAAGATAAAAATAAGGATACATAATAACATGCATGTACGCGAAAAGGTATTTGGATCATGTAAAGTCTGAACGCATATACAAATAGTTCAACAACGAAAATTGAAATAGAAGGGCGTGTCAATTAATTGAGGTCGGTTCCTCATTTGCTCAAACCATGAACGAAGATTTTTAATGTATAAAGAAAAATATGTATATACACAGTAATTAAACCATCACGGTTTTACTTTTGTGATTTATTGCATGCTGTCGGTTGATAAATATTTTTCACGGCAACAAGCGAAGTCCAACAATTTACAGGAACGAAACCCTCGTAAGAGGAAAGTGGACGAGTCAGATATAATCATCCTCTCAAGTTCTGGTGATTCACTAGACAACAGTCTCAATGAACAAATGTCAACTAAAGACTCAGTGGAGAACATGCCAATACTAACAGTTTTATCTTGGAATATTCAGGGATTGGAGAAAGCATGTTTGAACAAACGAATGGAAGCGGTCGCTGCTACTATACAAAAGGAGGAATTCCACGTGGTTTGTTTACAAGTAGTCGTGCCTGCGTGCTTGAATATTCTTCAAAGTAAGCTGGAACCAACATATCACATTTTCTCTGCTTCTGACTATAATCCTTATTGGGATTATTTTGTCGCTATCCTAGTTAGAAAATATCCAGGCATCAAAGTTGATCAAATAAACCACCCACTATAGTGGGTGAATATGATCTTCAGTTACCATAAAAAGGCATTATCAAGGATTAGGTTGGAATAAGTTTAGAATTGTTTTAAGCTTGGTGGTGCTGCGGTCTAAGTGATAAATCGTATTAATCACCGTTATTCACGATATGCTATGAACCGCCCAGTCGGTTACTTTTTTTGTGGACCTGGGATATGTGGGTAAAAACGTGGGTAGTTTTCCGTTTAAATGTGGGCAAAGTGGGATAAGGTGGGCTGTTTTCGTTTGTAACATGGGCAAAGTGGGAATAAGTGGGCTGTTTTCTAAAATGACATGGGCAAACGGGGAAAAAGTGGGTATATTTTGAATTCCTGCACATGGGATAAATGGGTGAAAACGTGGGTTACGTGGGAAAACTGGGAAAAGGTGGGACAAACAAATTTTATCTGGACATGGGAAAACGGGGGAAAAGTGGGAAATGTGGCCAAAGTGGGTAAAATCGGTTGCATTTACACCATCTTTTGCCCACGTGTTTTCCGATCTAAATTACCCTTTTATCCCACGTTTGCCCATGTGCATTAACCGACTGGGCGGAAATCCTCAGCTGAAAAACGCATGAATAAGACACAGATCGGTGTAATTTATAACTGACTTTAAATTGCTCTCATCACGAAACAATCAACCAAAGTATGCTTTAAAATATAGGGAAATATAATTTAACTACAATTTCTAAAAATTTAATGTGTCCTTAATTAGTACATACAGATAAATGTATGTGTTAACTAATTTATTTTTTCAGTTGTCAATTCATTGACCTGTGGGATTTGTGCATACTAGGCCAGCATAAATCAAGTAAATTTCTCTTCAATTGATAATGCCTTTTTATGGTAACTGAAGATCATATTCACCCACTATAGTGGGTGGTTTATTTGATCAACTTTGATGCCTGGATATTTTCTAACTAGGATAGCGACAAAATAATCCCAATAAGGATTATAGTCAGAAGCAGAGAAAATGTGATATGTTGGTTCCAGCTTACTTTGAAGAATATTCAAGCACGCAGGCACGACTACTTGTAAACAAACCACGTGGAATTCCTCCTTTTGTATAGTAGCAGCGACCGCTTCCATTCGTTTGTTCAAACATGCTTTCTCCAATCCCTGAATATTCCAAGATAAAACTGTTAGTATTGGCATGTTCTCCACTGAGTCTTTAGTTGACATTTGTTCATTGAGACTGTTGTCTAGTGAATCACCAGAACTTGAGAGGATGATTATATCTGACTCGTCCACTTTCCTCTTACGAGGGTTTCGTTCCTGTAAATTGTTGGACTTCGCTTGTTGCCGTGAAAAATATTTATCAACCGACAGCATGCAATAAATCACAAAAGTAAAACCGTGATGGTTTAATTACTGTGTATATACATATTTTTCTTTATACATTAAAAATCTTCGTTCATGGTTTGAGCAAATGAGGAACCGACCTCAATTAATTGACACGCCCTTCTATTTCAATTTTCGTTGTTGAACTATTTGTATATGCGTTCAGACTTTACATGATCCAAATACCTTTTCGCGTACATGCATGTTATTATGTATCCTTATTTTTATCTTAAAATTGTTATTACTATTATTATTTACTTCACTAACAGTAACACTTTCTGGTAGTCTCTCCGGACCTCTGTGGGGGGAGCCGTATGGAGTACGTAACAATATAATTGTACACTTTCAGGTTATTTGTAGAAATTAGAGATATTGTACATGATTTTTGTTTAAAATGATTCTTGTTAAAATACATATAACTTCCGTGTACCATTGGAAATACGCCTTACTGTTGGGAACGCCTTCTCTCTGGCTGCTATTGCTTACGCGCTTCGCTCACACCGTGTTGTATCCTTTGGATTTATTGTAGGAGTCTACTATCCTCATCCGAAGATAATTCTACAACCGGCACACAGCAGACGCAATTCCAACAGTGAATACTTCCGTGGATTATATAAATAATTCGTAGCAGAGGACTTAAAGTTTATATCCAAGTGACCCCTTTTATTATTATAACTCGTTATTGCATTTTTTGGTAATATACTGTTATTTAACGTTTCATTGACTTGGATCATTATTCTTATATTTGTAATGTTAATGAGCTTCCATAACAGTCCCCTCTAGATATCAGCTTGAATTATATCAGTGGGTTAAGCGGTAGAACGATCGACAACCGCGCATGTGGTCCGATGCCGTGGTACGATACTCGGCTTACTCACTCCTGAACCTCGCTAATCCGATAAATTGAGGCTAGACACTAGGCTAATTAACTTCACCCTATGAAAATAAAGAAACACTGCTACCGAAACTTCAAATCACTTGGGGGCGGTTGTTAAGGAATATAATAGAAGATATCACCTGTAGTAACAATTTTTGGGTCTTTTGGAGGAAGTTTAGGGCTTTCAGGGATTACTGATAATTCGGTACATTTTCTTCCAGGACTTTTCACATGAAGATGTTCCAAGAATGGTCCAAAATTGTACATTTTGAGTTCAAAAGACTAAATAAGAGTATATAGTGGGGGAGACAAGGATGTTCCTTTTGAAAGACTGAACGTTTGTCATCAGAAAACCTGTTTTGACGAAATACAAGCTCCTTCTTTGTATCAGTTCTCTAATTTCGGGGTTTTAATCAGTAATATTTAATTCCTCAGCTTCTAAAGTGGGTAGTCATGTGAAAAAACATCATGTGCACAATCTATTCTCTCCAAATATATAGGAAAGATAATAAAGAGGTATCCTTAATTAGGATACATAGGGCTTTCAGATAAAACATTTGAAGGCGAAAAGAAATAATATGGGCAGAAATCCTGATTCATAATAGTTGTTCGGAGAAGCCTTAAAACTTATTTTTCAACTTGCGTAGAAGCGACTATTTATCAAGCTACACATCACAAGTGAAGGTAAAACGCTGAGGTCAAAAGACTTTATGCAGCTAAAATCCAGGTAATTAAAAATATAAGCTATACCTATCTATCTGTCCAAGCCTTTGGGATATATGGAAAATATTATCCTACCCCACTGTATTATGTATCAGTTTAAATGTTCGTGCAGTAACACGTTCCATCATCGATCTCTACACGTAATGGCTACAGGGCATATTTCTAGTTGACTTCAGAATTAGGGTAAGTCACTAGGTCGTATAGGAGTAGTGAATACAAGCGGTCAATATCTCCCCATTTGCGAAATATGACAGAAACCGCTCATTGACTAAGTGTCTTTTAAATTAATCTGTCAGACATCCTGAGTGCTTATCCTAAAGTCTGTGGAGGTCCTCATAGACTTTAGGCTAATAAACCATCCACGTGGTCACAAACAACTTATCGTTTTTTTCTAATTGAAGGGCATTCCAGAAAAATATTCTGATCACAAGACATTTCCTAAATAATTCTGTTCTTTGAAGAATATTGTAAAAACTGTTGTTTTGTTTATTTCAACATAAGTTACTATATATATGAAGACCGTGGACTCAGTTTCTTGTGGTATCTGGCAATAGTAGTGAAATGTGCATAATTTCACTAGTTTTAACTAGCTATCTCTCTACTATGTATAATGGGGGGAGGGGGGGGAAGATTACATTCAGAACTGTCGTATAATAAACAGAAAAGGAAGGACAGGTTGATCTTTTTTTGTATCCCATCCAAAGTGGTCAAAGTTCATTTCGTATTCATATATATTCCCGTCAGAATTTATTGGTGTGTAATTGGCACTGTAAAGAACTGCCAGTGTTACCGTATCTATTAATTAAGGGGTGGGGGACGATTGCCTAGCATTCGAGTGCTGAAGAAATCACAACATTTTACAACACAATGTTAGCCTAAGGCGCGTACAGTTTTCAGGTGTAGGGAGCCTGTGACTCGTCTATATTTAGTAATAACAGATTTCATATTCTGTATTAAGCGGGGCTTGTGTGGCTTTTGACTTGTCATTTCATTCTGACTTAATATAAACAATGTTAGAAGTTTCGTTTATCTTGACATATGTGTAAATGTTAAGTTCTGTGAGCAA